AACCACATGTGCCTTGGCTTGCGTTGAAATGTTGGTCTGTACGCGGCTTTACAGTTCACTTTCCGCAAATCTTTAGCAACAACACTCTCGCTAAAAAACCGCTAATAACTCAACAACGAATCATCGAAACGCTATATCAATCTTACTCTTTTGGAGGCGCTTATTCGAATATATTTATAATGAAATAAGAAACATTCATTTTAGAAACAGACCGTCAAAATCGTCAGTTCTTTCAAACTAAATGTCTCGTTTTATTTCACAGTCAGATAAATCCTTACGAGGAATAAAACTGATATAACACTATAACGGTATCACACGACTAGGTACTCATTCTATCTAAAAAAGGTACAAGATGACACTATCGGCTATCTTGAAATTTGCAACCTCTGTTTTTACGTTATATAGCGGACGGACCTTTCTGGAAAGCCCAGCCGTCAGGTTGAAACTTGTAACTGTTGTTTAACCATTAAAATAATAATATTCATGCGTCAGTTTCACCATCTGGAATTTCAGCTTACTAACTTGACTGTTTCGAAAAACAAGTAGGGATCTACTGTACATATTTTTTGGCAGGTAACAATCCTGTGTATTAATAGCTGTTACAAGCAAATCTGATCAACCGTTTAACGTTAGAGGTTTTTATAATAATTCTTAGCTTGTATCAAAGTAAGCCTAACCCACCATAACCTAATGTAGCACTTGCAATCATGGAGTCCTACAGTCAGAAATCCCCTGCTGAACCTACATACATGTAAATTGATTTCCTATTTCATCTGGATTATATGTTTACATCCTGGATGTAAATGCTACGGCATGATATCGTAATTGAATCCCTTGCAACGACCCTCTGTTTATGGTATTATGCTACATTTGCTATTTACTAGGTATGTAGCCCGTTCATAGAGCTGTTTGATCACATAGTATATTATACACATATTATCCATGCACGTTACGTTAGCAAGTTAAGCCTTTGTTGATTATTAAAGGAGTCCATAATACTATTAAACCAGATGTAAATATACCAAGCTACCACAATTACTACAAATAAGTTGAAGATTTCTGAGCTAAGCAACGTCGCTAGAACAGAAACCGACATATTCTGCTAGAACGTACCACATTTTCGATACCCTAGGAACAAAAGAGTAATCGTGTTGGTCAGCTCTTAATGTGCAGAGTTAAGTTAGAATGAAAAGAAAATGTCTAGCGAGTCCGTCTGGCAGGTCTACGATCCAGTAATATCATGGAGGTGGCCTCAGAGGAGCAAAGTCCATTTATACGTCGGCAGATTACGTCAATGTGGGAGATATACTAAGTGACATATAAATCCGAACACCCAGTTTAAATGGTCTTATTTTAATACTATTTTGTATAAGTACTTAATGAAGCATAATAAGTAAATGATAAAAATTTCAAAATGATTGCACTGCTTTAAAGCCTTTTGACCTTTAATAATGTGTGGATGCACCCTGATGTGCTACGCATTCTCCAAAGCGCCTAGGCATGCTTCTGACCAGGTGGTCAATGTCCTCCTGTGGTATCTCATTCCAGGCAACCACCAACTCCTCTCGAAGTGCTTCTAGAGTCTGAGGAGGACGTTGCAAATTGAGCAATCTCCTACCCATCATATCCCACACGTGCTCAATTGGAGATAAGTCGGGATATCTTGGTGGCCATGGTAACAATGTGACATCATTATGTTGAAAGAAGTCTATTGTGACTCTTGCAACATGTTGTCGGGCATTATCTTGTTGGAAAGTTGGATCTGCCAGGGTGTCAAGATAGGGTAAAAGATGGGGTTCTAGAACTTCGTGAATATAACGCTGCACGTTCATGTTACCTCTGATGAAGATTAAAGGTGACCTGGAACCATAAGCTATAGCACCCCAAACCATAACTCCAACAGTGTGATGAACATGTCTTTCAACAAAAAACTGTGGATTCCTCCTTTCACCACGTCGCCTTCTAACCCTGGCACGACCATCGTGCATGCCTAAACAAAATCGAGACTCGTTCCTAAAGACAATACTGTTCCATTCCTGATCCCAGAGTGACCGTTGTCTGCACCACTCAAGGCGATTACGTCGGTGTTCTCGAGTTAAAGGGAGGACCCAGTGCGGCCGGTATGAAAACAAGCCAAAACTTCTCATTCGATGGTAAACACTTCGCATGCCAATAGGTCTTCCGTGTTCTGCAAACCATTCATTTGCAATGGACCTGGTAGCGGAGAAATGGTCCCTTAAGGCCAATAATCTTAGGCGGCGATCTTCACGGTCTGTTGTTCTACGGCGGCGTCCAGTGCCCCTTGCTCTTTGCGTACGGCCTTCTCGAAGCCATGCCTGACAACACCTAACCACAGTGTCTACACTTCTTTGCACTCTAACTGCAATTGCCCGAAAAGAAAGTCCAGCTTCCCGAAGTCCCACTATACGGCCCCTATCAAACTCACTAAGTTACGGAAGCGTACAGGTCTCCGTACTCTAGGCATCGTAACCGATCGTAAAGGATGTCAAGAACCAAAATCCGCCAACGTTGATTCTTTACTGCGGCTGAAATATTCATTTTTAGAGCGTTAGTGAATTAAAAAAAAGGAGTATAAAAACCGGAATGTCCAACTGATAAGGCTGAAAATTTTTTCACTTGTTATTTACAGTAAGATAAATACATTCACCAACTTTTATTAAAATAAAACCATTTAAACTGGGTGTTCGGATTTATATGTCACTTAGTATACTTAAAACCATTTGTTAAGAAGGTGTGATTCATGAATTGTACAGTGTAGTATTAGTATGTTCATCGCAGTATTCGACAGATTCCCAATTACGGTAAAATGCAGGATGCTCCGTACTATAATAGAGATGTGAAATGGTAGGTAGTATGGACCGAAACCTTTACATATCTGAAAATAAAGAATAAATGCAGTTGGGTGACTTATCCAAACAAGCCAATGATTCAGACACTATTGAACTGCTTAGAAATTTCTATTTATTCGAATATTTAATTTTTGGCAGTTTATGTGCACAAAACTCAAAATTCCAATGGTGATCAACTTGGTTCCATTGAAATTTTACAAAATAGCTCTTAAAATTGAACTAAAAAAGTTTTAGAAACTTACCATTGGATTCAGTTGTTTTCATTTACTTGTATTTTATTCAGTACAACGCCGTTCTGAATTTATCATTATTTGGCAGAACAAAGATTAATACATGATATAGATAAAAGCAAAATCAATGATACACACCCTATTTAGTTTTTTCAGTAACTTTTCAATTTTCTAACTCTAACAATCGATGTTATACAAAACAGACCAAAGAAACTACTGGGTATGTTTTCCACATGCTCGCGAAAGAGGAGCCACTACAGCTCGCGGAGACTGAAGTAGTCTACAATTGTGCCTGTAAACTCAGAGACCTCGCATTAAAGTACGATTGGCGATACCGGACGTCCCAACATATAACTGCAAACAAATGGAAAAACTGCTGAAGTATGTATTCGACGATACAGAAATCTTGCTGTTTATATATAAACCGATAGAAAAACGGTCCAGCAAAAGAGATCACCAAGCCAAAGAGAAGTCAATGGATACCAAATCAAAACGATATCAAAGGACGTTTTAATTATCCAGGGTGAGGACAAGTCATACGCGGAGCTTGTCAGGGGCATTAAAAGTGGCATCGATCTTGATAACGTGGACGTGGAGGTGTCCAGAATAAGGCAAAAAAAAAGAAGCGTCCTCCTTGAAATCAAAAAAGGCAAGGCAGATGCACTGCGGTCGGCTATAAATAACAAGATAGGCGGTGTAAAGGTGATAACCAGGACCAAAAAATCAATCCTCCACATAAAGGAGCTAGATGGTGTCACTACAAAGGAAGAGGTACAGGAGGCAGTTTCAAAAGCTGTTGAGGGAAGTATTCGTAGCTGTAGGCTCACATCATTACTTCCGGCATATGGAGGTAGTCAAAATGCCACGGTATTTGTAGACACCCATGCAGCACAACAATTGCTAAAAGTGGGGAGGGTAAAAATTGGACTGGTGCAGTGTCTATTACGATTGAAGAAACCCTGTGACAGATGCCTCAGATGCTAAGACGTTGGTCATAGAAACTTTGAAGTGCGCACAGCCTGGACACAAAGCCAGTGTGTGTCCGGGTAAATCATATTGCCCGTTATGTAAAAAGGATGATCACCAGGTTGGTCGTAAGGGATGTAGATCTATCCCTCCGAGGGCGACACATTCAATATCTCACAAATTTATGTAGACAGAGGAAGACAAGCTCATGACATTCTGGAAGCAACGGCATACGACATCCGAGCCGATGTACTACTCGTCGCCGAACCAAACAAGTATATTGTAAGCTCTTCCCAAAACTAGTATACTGACCAACATGTAAACACAGCAATATCTATCCGTAGTCGTAACGTGTTCAACTGTCCATACTAGCGCACGGATCCGTTGCAGGTTTTGTGTGGATATATGCAGGTCCAATGGTGATATACAGCTGCTGTTTCTCACCGAAAGGAGAAATCTCGAATTTTGAAGACGGTCTGGACGAACTTAAAGGGGCCTTGATGTTTTCTACCAAGGAAGTCATTTTAGGCGGTGATTTTAACGCAAAGTCGACAGAATGGGGTATGCACTTTTAAGATGGACGATTGACAGAATGGCTCTCAGAATTATCACTGGTTGTTATGAACGAAGGCAATGCTCCAACCTTTGTCCGAGGAGTATCAGCGTCCATACTTGAATTGACTATAAGATCAGAAGACACTGAGGAACTGACAAGAGCTCTAACAGAAGCCTACAATACCTCTATGCCTAAGAGGCGCCTCAATCCGAAAAGAAAGCCTGTCTGCTGGCGGACTCAAGAAATAGCAGCCTTCCGCAGGCACAGAGCTCTTGACTCTACGCATGACCTTCTAGAGGAAGCCTATAAAACAACGCCAAGCCACTAAAACGTCGAAGAGAAGGTGCTGGCAGGGATTTCTCCTAGACATCATCGACGATGTATGGGGAAAAGGACACCAGACTGAAGCTTACATCTCCAAACATTGCGATCCCTTTACCAAAGAAGTTGGAATTTGCTGAGATCCTGTTTCCAGACATGGTTGCAGTTGCCTGGGAGCAGACGACACCTTTCACCATTCATGAGCTTTTGGCAGCTGCGGACAGACTGAGGCCCAACAAGGCACCGGGGCCTGACAACATACCATCGCAGATAGTGAAACTCGCGACAAGGCAATTCCAAGAAACTATGCTGAAGGTGATGAATAATGCTATCACGACTGGTAGCTGTCCCGCAACTTGCAAACACGCGGAACTGATCATGTCACCGAAGAGGCATAAACATCTAATGCAGCGGATTTCCGTCCGATTTCATTATTAGACGCAGCTAGAAGGCTGCTAGAATGTATGAACCTCGAACGTCTACTATAAGAAGTAAATGAGACAAGATCGGCAACACAGGATGGTTTCAAACGAGGTAAATCAACCCTTGATGCTATCAACCACGGGATAAGCATTGCAAAAAGCGCGGAAGTAGTGATCAACCGCAAATTACAATTATTCGCGATGATCACTATAGACATAAGGAATGCTTTTAACGCTGCAACACCTCAAGGGATTGTCGATGCCCTGGAGAGCAGAAGAGTTAGTGGAGATACCCTCCGACTAATTGTCGATTACTTGTAGAATCGAAAGGTTATGATTCGTGATACGTACAATGCTATTGCTGAGAAACCTGTATATAGCGGCGTTCCGCAGGGATCAATCTTGGGACCTACCCTATGGAATTTGCTGTACGATGGAGTTTGGCGGTTACAAATGCCAGATGAAATTTCTACAGTAGTCTATGCGGACGATTTGGCAATAGTGGTGGTAGCAATGACCAAAGAATAACTGATGAGCAAGGCATACTGCGCTATCGAAGAGATAAATGACTGGCTGACCCACGCGTTGCGAATTGCACCGGAGAAAACGGAGGTTGTTATGCTTGACACCCAAGAGAAAGATGTCTGCTATTACCTTTAACGTACAGGATGTTGTGGTAAGACCGACCAAATCTTTGGGGTACCTCGGAGTCTGGCTTGATACCAAGCTTACTTTTGCGGACCATAGAGACAAAAGGGTGCAAAAGGCGTCCAAAACTGTGATTAGTTGGAGGGAAAATGGCATTCCGAGTATGCACCGCATATCGCAGTCTCCACTGTAGCCGTCGCAGTAATTGCAGATTTTCCACCTATAGAGCTGCAAATATTAGAACGATCGGATAGGTTAGACGGATAGGCAAGAGCAGATGCTCGGGAACTGCTACTCCAACGATGGCAAGAAGCTGAGAAGGGTCGATGGGCGTGGCGTCTCATCAGGAACGTGGAGCAGTGGGTGACCAGAGCGTGGGGAGAGGTCGACTTCTATCTTACGCAGTTTCTCTCGAGAAACGGATGTTTTGAGGCCTATTTCCATCGTTTTCGTTTGTCAGAAGACCCCGGATGTCTGCACTGTGGCTTTCCGGATGACGCATTCCACACGTTTTTTGAATGCGAGAGGTGGAATACAGATCGTGACAACTGCCAGAATCGGCTGGAGGCCGATGTACTCCCGGACAGCATCGTCCAGCTGATGCTCTCCTCCCAAGCAAACTGGAATGGCGTGGCTATTTTTGTACGTACCTTCCTCGACAGCAAAAAAGCAGCAAGACATCGCACGCTGACCACCACAGAGAGCCTGAACTCCTAATCCCCGTGTATATGGGGGAGGGGAGATATAGGGCAAGAAGATCGAAGAATGGACTGAACAAAGAAGAAAAGACAGCCTCCAACTTGAAGATATGTCCACCAAGATAGTTCCGGGAAAGGGGCGGTTCATAGGACCCACTACTACTACTACTGCTAACTACTACTACTGCTAACTACTACTACTGTCATCACTATCACTTTCTAAAAACAATACAAGTTTTCTGTTCTTGGTTCTTGCTTTTATTTAATATCGTTGTCATTGTCAATACACCGATTTTCAGAATCAAAATGTTATCATCTAACCTTACGTTGCTCCTCGAATTTCACCAAAATTTGTATAACGAAGACTGAGACTACGAGTACACTATAGTGAATAAACTACGGCTACCAGAGAAAAAGTCAATCTATTTCAGAAACATCACCCAACTGTTGTAATTTCTGATCCTCGCAAAATTCACATTAGCCATTCCGCTTACGCCAACGGATATACCAGCTTAACCAAAGTGAGACTGATTCAGGGCAACGAATCGCGAAATTTTTGTCTACATCCATTTCAGTCGCTGTCAAAGGCATGCAAAAGCGCCTCCAGTTGTAAATGATTGCCGAGTAAATCACACCAGTTCCGGTCCCGCATTGCATTTGGTTAAAACCGTCCTTCGAGGTACAGTCGTGATCAAAAATTTGTGTAGAGCTATGAGATAGCTGTTATTAGCGAATTGTGATTGGAAGCTGCTCAATGGAAATGTAAAGCATAACGATTTTCATTAGTTTGAATGAATTACCAATGAGTTTAGTATGCGCATTCATTACTTTTCAATATTTTCTGCCAGAATCATAGGGCAATCGGGAAAGAGGAGTAAAGAATCTGCTTTAATTTCATCCTTTTATCCTTTCGGTTTGGGATGTTCATGCCCCACTTGTCACAAATGTCGGCCATAGATTTTGTGTTGTACACTTCTGTACGGAAAGTACGTAATTTCTGATATTCACAAAAGCAACCGCGTAGGCAGAAGCGCAAGTCCCAGAGCCCTGCGGCTGCATAGAGACAGTTTGTTAACCCGATTTTTGACATGTCTCAGGTTAATAAAACCACAATCTCCATATCCTAGGATCAAAGAAGCGGCCATACCGGCCAGTTATGGACGTACGAAGTTAGACACTGTTAGGATGGGAAGCCGCAGCCAGGCGGGTCTCACTGAGAGGCTCATCACGTGGCGGCATCATGGATGAGAGTTCTGAGGCGCAAAGTCCGTTGGCATAGCGATAGAAGAGAGCTAGATCTGAGACGGCCCGTCGGTGCGAGACGGTTCCGAGACTGTCCGTTAGCGAGTCATCGATAAGTGGGTCAGCCCTCCAGAAACAAAATATTCGTAGCAAAAGAACATACATTGAAATCTATATACCGTGGATGTCGTGTACGAGAGAGAAGCGCTAGAGGCATGCAATACATGTATTAGAAAGAGATAGAAGCATCCCGTCGCCTAGCAATCCGAGTGACAAGGCCATACACTCAGCTGCGGACTGCCGCGTGGCCATCGGCGCACTCTTTCTTTAAATATAGCTAGCGGTGGGTTATTTAGAAAACGGGTATTCAGCACACCTAATTATGGAAAAAAAATCGGTCCGGAAAAATGTTTCTGAGATTTTTCGCTCGTCTAGTTAAAATTCCTTCCAAGCACGTTCCTGTATGCAAGTGCAGCCCGCAACAATTAATCGAGAGCATTTACAGAGCGCACTACCGATCGTTTGTAGCAAGAAATTCCGGATTAAAGACATAATTTCCTGTCGGCGATTAATAACAGAGTAGCAACGGCGTCTGACATACGCCGGGTAGCGCCAGCATGAAGCAAAACCTACCCTATCCTCCTATGAAATAGAGGGAATTATTTGCCAGACATGCACACAGAGACATATGTATGTAGAGACAGAGGAACGTGAAGATGTATTGCCTACCATAGAAATTAATTCGAGGTTGTATTCGAGAGTATATTTGTATTATACATATATATATATATATATATATGTATATTGGTAGGGCCATGTGTTAGAGTTTATCGCCAGCTAATTGTGGCGGATCAATGGTGAGCAAAAAACAATAAATTTTTAAAAAAGATGCAAAAAGTTTGCAATGACTAATATCAATATTTACCTATTGAGTATGTATTTATTTTTTCAATTAACTAACCAGGATGGTCAAATAATAGATATACACTTTCCTTATTCTTTACTTCTACACGCATAAGGGAGAAACACCTAACTTTATAAAGGTAGGTTCAATGAGTGGCCTTGAAGAAGATACGTTTAACAGGAAAACAAGTAACGGAGAAAAGCCACAGAGTTTTTTTTTTCAAACACAATACTGAATTACTGAGAAGGAAAGATATAACACGTATGATATTATAAAATCAATGAACTATGAAATTTACCAAAAGAAAATCATTGAAAAGGGTTTGTGGCCTAGTGATGGGCACTCTACCGTTAATAAAGAGAAATCGAAGTTACTAGTAAGTGATCAAAATAGTAAAAAAAAGGTTATGCGATTTTAGCACGTGACAACCCCCCCCCCCCTCCTCCTTGGAGTAGGAGAGTATCTATAGAGTAGAAGACCGACGATAATAAACCTAATAACCTAAGCTAACGAAACAACACTAAAGGTCAATATCGGTATAAAAGGTCAAAGTCAGTATAAAAAGTCAAAATCAGGTAATAACAAGATGAAGATCAGGAAATGAGCTATGACAATCATGAATCAACAAAACCAAGGAAATATAACGAAAAGGCAAGATAAGGTAAACGAACTAATAAAGGTAATCAATACGTAATCACGAAGATAAAAGATAGTCGGAATAGGTAAATTAAATCAAGGAATGAATAAGTCAAATTTAGTATAACACTCAGTAGTCTCAGAATAGAACAAATCGTATTTCCACTTGTTGACATGTGCAGACATGAAGTTTTCCGATAAGCTATCTGCCCATGCCCAACAAATTGTCCACTCTACAGCACAGAGCTTAAGACAAGACAAGATGGATAGATACATAGATGAAGGTATATGACAAGGTAAGACAAGAGTAAGTAAGTAACTAATCCTTCCAGTAAAAAACAAGGATAATAATATTCAGTATATTGCATAACCTAAATCAAATCGCCACTAAGCAATAGGGTCAGTCGTATAGAAAAATCCGACAATTAAGACTCAACACTCTAGTGATTTACTTATCTAAGTCAGGTGGTTCGGATGATAAAGCTTAGATGATATTAAGTGTGGACACATGATAGACTTTTACCACCGGCAATTTTCCCGCCACGGACAAATTCTTAAGCCCAGTATATCTACAACACACCAATTTGTACCACTTACTTCTGTCGATCTGTCTGTCGATCCGTCTGTATGTTGGTCTTATATCATTCTCATAATACCAGAAACGGCTGCACCGATTTAGATGAAATTCAGAGATCAGCATACTGTGGGGTGATAGTAGATAATGCTACTTCATTTCTAAAAATCGCACGAATGACAACAGCACTATGAGCCAAAAACAAAACAGTTTGAGATCGTTTCCGTATGTTTGTTTTTGTATGCTCTACAAACTTCTGCACTTTTGTGAGCGTAATGAAAACATTTTTTGGAGAGGCACAATTTTGGAAAATTTCAATAATTTGCTTTCGTCGTTTCCTATAGTTCCAGTTTGGAGCGTAGTCAGAAATAATATTATTGACATACATATAGAAATAATGGTACCAAGATAGCATTTGTGTATAGAGGATTGTTAATTTGTATGTATGAAACTAAACATACGTGATTGCATAGGAAGTACCGTTAGTAATGTTCTTTTGGAAAACGGTTTTTAATTCATCCATGGATGAAGACGGTCAGTTTCCAGATTTTCCGCCTCTGAAGGCAGTACCAAGTGTGATAGTCATAGAAATCCTATGATAATTTAATTACCTTCAATTTTGAAAAGCTTCTTTTAGCTGTTGCAGTTGTATTCTGGGAGGTTGAAAAATGGTAGCATTGTCACCAATTAGTAATAATTTATAGTTTACCGTACACCGTAAGAACTTGTGTGAGAATGTGGATAATACTACACACGTTTTCTTTTACATATTGAGGCACCTGCCAGCTGGTTGTTAGGACCTTGATTTATTCTTGGTAGTCCAGACGCTATGATTGACACATATCACCAAACAGCAAAAAATTAGTGACCCATTAGTGCCAAACTCTATCTTAAGTTCTTCAATTAAAAGCATGCCTTTTTGTCTAAACATGAGCTAAACTACAACTTACCATTGAACCGGAGACTATTTATGGATATCAGAGCACGTTAACTGAAAAACTAGACTATTGGCCACTATTTTCGTGCAAAATTTGAAAATCAACATCGGCAGCATTAATTATTCATTATCTTAGTTAACACATGCTTTACCACTTTCTTCCTATTTTAGACATCTAGCAAATTACACGAACATCTCATTTGTCGTAAATAATCAGAAATTAGAAAGTAACAGTACCTCAGATATAAAATACCATGTAATATAAAGGGTGTCTCATAAATATTTTCTTATTTTATGCCATAAATAAAAATACTTAGAATATTTTTACAAAGATAAATTTATTACCAAACGAAAGCCTAAAAATTAATTTTATTTATGGAAAAGAGTATCGGATAAATGAGCACCGTTCATGTTTTCACACTCTCTTAATCTCGAACTGAAGTTTTCGATCACTCTCCGAAGCATTGCGCGAGGAATGGCGTTTATTTCATCTGTTATTTTTTGCTTCAACTCTCTCAAATCTTGTGGCGGTGGGGTGTATACCTTACTCTTCAGGTATCCCCATAAGAAAAAATCTGCTGGTGTCAAATCGGGACTTCTCGGTGGCCAGTTAATGTCTCCTCTGCGACTGATGACCCTCTCTGGGAATAACTGATGAAGAGCATCCAAGGATTCATTCGTGACATGAGAAGTCGCTCCATCTTGCTGGAAAAACGTGTTTCTATTGTAGCCACCATGGTTCTGTATAGCTGGAGTTAAAAAAGTCCTAATCATGTGGCAGTAGCGCTCAGATGTTACAGTTTGAGCTTGGCCACGATTGTCTTCAAAAAAATACGGGCCAATGATTCCTTGCCCTGACATAGCAGCCCAGACGATAACTTTAGGCGAGTGTAATGGCGTCTCATGAAGATTTTGCGGGTTCTGCTCGGCCCAATATCGGCTGTTTTGTTTATTAACATGCCCGTTAATGTGAAAATTCGATTCATCAGAAAACCATATGTTGTTGTAACCGTTAAAATGCTCTCTCATTGTTCTACAGAACTCTAATCGATTAGCGGGATCTTGTGGTTTTAATTGTTGTGTAACAACAATCTTGTATGGGTGAAAATGCAAATCCTTGCGATTAATGCGATGAACAGTTGACTTATGCAAAGTTAGAGATGCTCCACGCAGTCTTAATGATTGCCGGGGATCCTCGTTAACGGACTGGCACACACGTTCAATATTTTCGTTCGATCTTGCTGACCTTGGCCGTCCAGGCGGTTTACTAATACACGTGTTTCCAGTGCTCTCGAACTTTCTTACCCAATATTTAATTAAATTTGCGCTTGGGACATCTCTCATTCTTGCTATGTTATAATGATTTCTGTACAAACGACGTACAAGCACATAAGAATCCTTGTTTTTATAGAACTCGCGAACACAAAAAGCACGTTGCGGCCCTGTAAAACGCTCCATTGCAACTAAAATTTAACAATGTTGCCAAACGTTTGTCAACTGTCTCGTTTCTCCGGAGCATGCGTATTCCGCCAGAGGACTGATCTAAAAACGAAAATATTTCTGAGACACCCTTTATAAAACATCAAATCATTCGTTGATTAGTTGTATCTTTATTCATATTTCAATAATTTGCATGCTATTTATTTACCCATTCTTTATATTGTGTTGCGTTGTGTGTAAAAACTATCCTTAGTTGGGATGAACTCCCCATCAAACATAGTACACCACCATACGTGGGAACTATGAGCACAAAAAAATAGTAATAATACATTAGCTTCAAGTTGATCAGAGTTTGATGCCCTGATAAAAATAAGAGAAACGTCAATTGGTTGAAAAACCGATTTTTGTCTTCTCAATGCATTGTGCGCAACAATTAATCTCTTCATATCCTCTTACAAACTCATTTACCCTCAATCATGTTTTGCATCTTACTGTATTTTGTATTAAAGTGCATTAACAAAGAAATTATTTGTTACAGTTTTGGGCAGCGTACGTGCCTTGTGATTCTCAGCACAAAGATGCCGTTCAGCTAACCTTAGAACAAATTGATGTTATCAGAAGACTGACCGAACAATACCATCCCAGGCTAACTTTATGCACCTCGTCAGAAGGTAAGTAACGATGAATTAAATCAAATAGTTTTCGCTTTAAACAATTGTATTAGTTGAAGATCAGTTCCAGCAAACAATGGAAGTAAAATATTACTAGATATGTTCTCTATCTATCGCAAGATTATCAACCTCAACGTACTGAGAATAAATCATTTCTGGAAAATGTGTGTGAAACGTTATATCTAATAGGTGCATCCGATTACTGCGATTCGTAATAATCACAAATACCAAAAATTTATAACCCTTAACGCCCGATTCTCACCCCTTCCAAAAGATTATGGAACGACTTGGGGCATCTAACGTGTCAAAAAAAAAGCAGGAGCGATTTTTATTTTGTGTTTTCGGCTCATAACTCCTCTGTTACTGGTCGACTTTGAAAACCTACCAATCCTTTTCGTCCATGGTTTAGTACTTACTGAGCGGCACTTTCTAAGCTACAAAGAAGTCAGAGATTGGTGATCAGACCGAGAGGCAGACGGATCGACGTAAATCAGATTTTTTTCAACGTATTTATGTGTCACATAACATTCAAAAAGACTAATATCTCGATTTTGAAGCTTTTGCTGCTGCAACATTACAATAAAATATACTCAGTGACATTAGAAGTGATACACCCAGAAAAAAAATTAATGTTTTTAAGGCGGCTCCGACGCAGTGAGTTTCAGGCCATTTACAAGGGTTTAGCTGCTTCGGAATTGACGCTCCATTTTTCTATATATTTGAATAAAATTTATACAGTATTTTCAGAAGACAATTGTCCAGGGTGCTATAGAGCCACTTTTCTAAAAAAAAAATTTTTTCAGGAGTTATGGTGGGTGGAAGTGCAGATAATTGTTGTTCGACTTCTCGATTTTTTTAAAAATAACTCAGAGGAAAAAACGAAAAAGTGGCTCTATAGCACCCTGTGGAGTCTTGTTTTTAGTGCACTGTGAAAATTTCATTGAAAAATATTCAAAAATGAAGCGTCAATTTTGAAGTGCGAAAACCTCTGCAAATAGGCTTTTACAAGAATTTTATCCACTATCTCGTGCTGCCAGTCGAAGCAACGCGGCGGGGTGTACGGACTAAGAAAGGACGTATTCAGATAATTTGTTGTCCCAAGTTAAACAGTAGCAGTTTTAACGTCGGTCGTTCGAGATAAACATCGGACCAGTAAGTGATATTTTTTATAGACTTCAATGACAGAGGGGAAATTTTAAATCGATTTTGATCATTTCTTTTTATACAATAGGCCATGCTTCAGAGGTGATACCACAAAAAATCATTTTTGTTCAATCACCCCAATATGGATATCAAATGGAAGCACTTGTACAAAACAGTAATACGAAAACAGTTTAAAATCAAGATGGCGGCCGTTACAAAATGGCGGATAACATACTTGCTAATATCTCAAATAAGAGTCGTCGCCTTGTCGAAATTGCGAGTTACATATTTTTGTACAAAACCCCCAATTTACATATCAAATGAAAAGACTTGACATGTTTGGTAAAATACAGAACTTTGTGACCAAAAGTTTCCAGTTGGTTCCAGGGTCATTGGAGGCGGTAATCTTTTTAGTTAAAAATAATAATTATGGTGAACGCATTTAACACAAATAAAATGTCACTTGCTGTTTAGCTTTAACCTTATGGAGTATCGTGAAATAAACTAACACGATAAGCGTCATGAGATATAATGCGTGTGTCGCACCTCATTTGGCGCTTTGGGCCTCGTGACACCCATGATATGTCTCACTGCTGGCAGTTATATTTGACCACGTGTGCCATGCTGATGTGATTTTCTTACGGGAACCAAGAGTCCGTGGCCTGAGGGACCAAATTATACTGAATTGGAAATGAAAACATTAAAAAACACGTTGTTTATAGAGTTTTACAAAAAGAGGATATTCTATCTAAAACAAAAAGCAAATCTTATAAAATAATCAGACATTCTCATTCAAAAATGAACAAAGTCATTTCACAGCAAATCAGTAAGTTATGGTAAATGTCGATATTCTAACGAACACAAATATGGAGGAACTCTTATAAACTAAACAGATTGACAAAGTCTTATGCAGGAATAAACAAAATACCAGTATAAATAAACCGTAATACAGATAAATATCGAATTACTACAACTACTATCTGATTCACTACCACTTGGAGAATACGCAACAGATAAGTATACATCCCCACATAACTCAGTACTGCTACTCTCTTCATCCGATAGTATGTCATTACACAATTGTTCAAGCCTTTTTTGCTCCGCTTCGTAATGCGACATCACAAATTTGGTATTCAATAATTTATAAACAGTAAAGCAATTTGGACAAGATGACGTACAATACCAACAACGCTTCAATAATAAATGACACGAAACAGTGCTCAACGCGCGACATGATGCAAGTCTTGACTTGCAAAAAACGCGACGCGACTTATGTGCCACCCGACCCTACTGGTCTGTGGGCCACGCGACATACAACTAGTACCTCAGAAAAAAAAAATCAAAAAAGGGGAAAAATCATAGGATTTGAGAAAAAAGTCAAGTCAAAATATTAAACCGAAACTTAAAACAAGCTAATTTGACAATAATAACAGTTTGGCCCAGTGGACTGGATTTTCAGATTCTACTGTGGCGCTTAACGTGTCAATGTGACATTTCAATATTCGCCATCTAACAGACTAGATAAAGCTAGCCGATGCTACGTGCTATTGAGCCTGACGATTGACTTTTATTTAAATAAGCAATATATATATATAATATACAATAAATAGTGAACATCTAGTACTAGTACCAAAATGGAAGAGATTAGCATAACATCTCGCACATCGCTGCTAAAGCGAGATCTGCACACCGCATTTGCCGACACGAAGGGGTTAGTAACGGCGTACAATGTAATATGCTAATCTCTTCCATTTTGGTACCCGAGTACAGCAAAAATAGCCAATTCTCAAGAACTCTTTGTCTTGTTCAAACGGTTCTCTTGTGCCTTCAAGATCTCATCGGGATCGCGGATTGGCATATTTCTGCTTTTACTGGGATCGACCAGTTCTGGGAGCAAGCAGTTCATGTAGAAAAATTTCAATTTCTCTTCCATTTCATTTTTCCAGAAAACGTCATCCTTTTGAATGACGTCTATTTTCAAACCATACGGGGTCCAAACACCAAGCACACAGTACTCTCTTTGTGCAACGTGTAGCTGCCCTTGAATTTGTTAATACCACTTATGTCTTTATTTATTTCATCGTTTATCCAAAACGTAATTTTTTTGTTCAGAATGCCCTCTTCAGGGGTCATTTCTCTAGCCGACCATGAACATTTAATTTCTAGCAGACCTTTTTCGCCTATCAAACCATCTGGCGATGCTGCCAGAAATGGATGGGTCCTATCAATAAACAACCCGCAAAATTGTACTTCTGATTGCGAATATGATTTCTCTATTTCTACCTTTGCCACGCTTTCATGCTTTTTTCCATAGTCACATGCATTGCTAAAGAATTCGGTTGGGTATATTATGGCATTTACTAGAGCTCTGCAACTTGTTGTATCTCTTCTTCTACAAACCTCACCAAACCGAGACGCAGTCAACCTCATTCTTCGATGAAGACGCCACAAATTGCAATCCTGAGATTTTGTGGCTTGATCGATCTGGGAAATTTTGGAGTCGGTTTTTGCAAGTTTTTTCAAGAATTCTACCTTGGCAGCCTCTATATATTCGTTGCTCATGTCAGGCTTCTCACAGAATTCCCCAAAGGATGCGTTCTCTTTAGTATCACTATCTCTGATTTTAATTTTCCTTAGTTTCAGCTTCCTTTTCAGATTTTTGTGCGCTCTCCTTTCTTCAACTTTAGCAATCAAAGAGGTTGGACTGAAACTAGGGAGTAGCCGCTATTGGATCACACAAACAGGTCGCTGTGTATTGTGGCTCACTACGGCTGCAGCACATCTTCCTTGGTAGGATCCCTTCTTGCAATAATTAATCCGTTTACCCCCAAAGAATTTAGCTATGATTGAGTTAAACTGCTCTACAATACTATTATCGACGTCATGAAGTAAACTTACTGCATTTTTAATCAGAATTGCCAGAAATGATATCAGCCTCTGGTGCAAATCTAAAAAAAAGGGTATACACACCTGAATTTGAAGATCCATGCCATAATATGTCTCTGTTAGAGAATGCATATGCGAAACCTTGCTGTCATTTTTAAGCTAAAATAACATATAAAATATAGTTATAATAGTGACTACGTATAGTCTAATTTATTGGCAAAATGAATGCTAAAATTCATAATTGTTTTGGTACCTACCTTTCTATCTGGAAAACGTTTTTTTTTCCTGTGCGTATTTAAATGCGGCTTTTTCGAGACGCCACGTTTATTTCTCTTATTGTTCATTTTTGATACCTTGATAAGAAAGACACTCAACAATAACAACACAACAATAACAACACAACAATAACAAAACGATAATACAACAATACAATAACGGTAATAAGAGTAATAAGGGCTGAGTATACTATGCGCCAAAATAGGGAAAGAGTCGTACGCTAGATCGTATATCCAAATCAAATCCGACTCTGTGCAATAGGCAAATTCAACCAGGCACGCGAACAGCACACCTCTGCGTATTACTATCTTTTTCTAACGTAGAGCGCTTGCCTTGTCACAGCGCCGTCCTACTAGCGTTTCCCTATCACCCCCCCGATACCCCTCAGAAACTCTGCTTGACTGTGAGAGCGCCGTTAACTTGATTTTTTGGCAATGAAGTAGTCTTACATCAAGAATGAAACGATAACATTCTCACGAAATTTTATTGATAAGCAATGAGAAAAAAAATAATAATGTGTCGGGCGACCCCGCAGCTGAATACACTCCTGTATATGTCTTGGCTAGGACAAAACGAGATGATCGATGTCTGGTTGTAGCACCTCATTCCAAGCAACTCGAACTTTGTGGATTAGCTGTGGCACAGTCTGTGGCAGATGGTTCAAAGTCTTCTCCCCATCATATCCCACATATGTTCGATGGGATTTAAATCCGGAGAACGGGGTGGCCACGGCAAAACGTCAACGCCTGCTTCTTGAAGAAACTCCGTAGTACAACGAGCAATATAGGATGAGGATAGGCATCGTGCGTACCTAGACAGAATCGCGATTCGTCGCTGAAGATGACGTTATGACATTCTACCTCTCAATGTTGCCGTTCTCTACTCCAGTTCAAACGTTGACAACAGTGTTCCGCAGTCAGAGGAAGCACTAACCGTGGACGGTATGAAAAAGTCCAAAGGCTCAAATGTGACAATAGAGTGTACGCATAGTACCTTCTTCTCGAAATCATTGGTCAGCGATCTGACGCATAATAGCAAAACGGTCGCTTACGGCCAGTTGACTGAGGTGCCGATCTTGATGCTCTGTGGTACGCCTCGGTAGACCAGTTGGCCTTTTTCAACATGGTGATAATTTGGACGTCTCCGAATTCGAGGCATCTTGTTATGCTTAACACTAGTAAATGAACGGGCAGTAACTGAAAATATCAGTACTACTCAGGTCTGAGACACTGCTTTCTTCACAAAAACTAAGAGATAACATTTTGGCAAAGGTAAACAAAAAAAACATAAAACGTTGACATTGTTGACACATCATGCTTTAAGTCATTGAGCCGTATTCATAAAACAAAGGATATCGTTGTACTTGCAAATTTTGAAGGAAATCCTCCAGATGGTACTTATAATAATTTGAAGTAAATGCTTTTGCTTTTTGAGTATAAGCATATCCTTCAAAGCAGTGACATGAGTAAAAGGATATTCATAATCTTCACTTTATACTTGGCATAGGAAGCATATCCTTAAAAACTTTTGAGTGTGCTCAGTAGCAGACAGTCACCTTCCATAGCTTTCAGCAACTTTTTTCCCAATCTAAAAATTTAATTGCTTTATTACCCGTTTTTTTTAGATCTGTTTCTTCTTCAATCTTGATTTCATGTTGATTTTTTTAATAAGCCTGTACTATCTAATAGTTTACCGAATGTTGATTCGTATTTTTTCAACATCTTCTTTAAGGCATCGTCCTTTCTCATTTTTATTTTTGGAACTTGAGACTTTTGCAAAATAATGGGAGCAACGACAATTTCATCTGCGATGGACTGCAGGTCGTTGCCATTATTTTTTATAGTTTCCTCATCACTTGAGGATGACATGCTTATTAATTTTATAAAAAACTGTATCCAGTAAAAATACGGATCGGTCTGTGTAAGCTCTGGAGTACAACTGTCAGTGATGATGAGTGAACGAACTCCCACGTCAACTACAAGCTGGAACAAGTCAGGACATGTCGCTTAAAATACAAATACCAGTCAACCTTTTACTTCTTCTTGGAGGATATCCTTGCGAGTATAAGGTAATCATTATGAATATGAAAACAAGGATATGCTTATACTTCTACCTTTTCCTCCGAAGCAAGTCCTTATACTTTTACCTTATGCCTCCGAGGATATGCTTGTCTTTTATGAATACGGCTCATTATGTTGCCAAAAAACAAGCTGAAGAAATTATTTTGTCAGGGCGTAACACTTCTAATGTCACTCAGTGTACAAGAATACGAGTAATATTAAAAAAGCAAGTCAGCACAGGAAGGATACCTATGTCTAACAAATTCGGGGATCTCTGAAACTGAAAGTTTACCACTTTTACCAAAGCAAAGAACACGTATGGTGGGTTAAGTCTCAAAAATCCCAATTATTCAAGTTTCAAATAAGTAAATACAGTCTTCGTTAGTAAATCATCCAACCTGTACGGCTTAAACGGCCATCCCTGTATGTTGACCGTAAAATCTACGGATCTGGATTCCAGTATTATGGAACAGGCCTCATTGTTTGTATTTCGACCCACATGTAAATTCGCTCGAAATAATCTCCAAAAAATTTAATTTTGTTATGAAAAACCGGCATGCAGATTAAAATAAATTACTTTCCCGCGTCAGCTGTACCTTGCTGGAGCTGCAGCGTAGCATGGCGATATATTCTCTAAATCCGATAATAAAATTAATTAAAGCACCCGTAAAAACGTTCACTAAAATTTCACTGGCAAAACGACATCACAGAGAAAGCACTATTTTTATGTAGTATGTTCATCAAGATCTTAGCTATAACGATGCTTAAACTACATTTGATTTAATATTCAGGACAAAGCTGGGTACCTGTACCGTACTAGCTCAGTATTTACTGAATTATAGACTTCTAATGCCATTTGATTAACTTGTTTGATGCCTCTTAGCGTCAAAACATATTTGCTCAAAACTTCTAACCAACAGTGGTTGGTAAAAATAGTGTTCTGTTGGTTGCTGTAAAACATGTTTTTGCAGTATTATACTCTTTTGTATCCAAATAGTGGTAGTTGAGGTGCCAGTTTGCGTAATTATCAATTCAACATGGTTTTGGGCAAGTAAAAGTCAATTTAACTTCAGTCTGAGTCAGTCATACCGGTTCGGCAATTCACCAGCATTTTATTTGGTAAATCGTACCGGAATGTCTCGTAGAAGATGACAAGCAATGCATACATTGGATGCGTGAAAGCTGTACTTCGTTCCCCAGTCGACTATATTATATTTGTGATTTTTGTGTTTAAGCATTATCCACCAGGTGGATTGAGTAGCTTGGTGGGTGATGTTGCCGGTCCCAAGCCCAAATAATGGAGGAGGGTTGTAGGGTTAGGTTAGCAGCTTGCCATATATAAAAAATAAAACGGCACAAAGATCCGATGAAGAGCCTCGGACTAGGACGGAAACTATGGTAACGAAAAAGGCGAGAAAAAGGACGACGAACTGGAAAACGAAAAATATAATGAGAGTGGCCACGTGGAACATAAAAAGCCTAAATAACCGGGATCAGTAAATAGAAAAAGAGTTGAGAGAACATCAAATAGAATATAAACAAGAGAGAGCAAAGGAAGGTGTAGCAATGATGATCAAAACAAAATATAAAGATCAAATTAAAGATTGCCAGTACATATCTCAGAGAATACTTTTAGTAAAGATTAGGGCGAACAGCAAAATTATAAACATAATAGGGATATATGCACCAGAAGACTGCAAACCTGACAGCGTTAAAGGAGGATTATATGATGAGCTCCAAACATTAGTGGAAAAAGAAGTAAAGCAAAACAGGAGACGAAGTAATACCTAGAATAAAACAAAGGTTTAACGAAAGAGTCATCAATGAGAACGGAAAGAGGATGGTGGACTTCTGCACATCAAACGAACTGAGAATAACCAACACGTTTTTTGATCATAAAATTCAACACAAATACACGGCTGAAAATACAATAGGACAGATATCAATGATATGGAAAAGTGGAAGAAGAAATACAAAAACAAGTGAGCGTGGAGAACAGAGCAGCAGGATGTCTCAACAATACAATCTGGAGAAACAAATACCTCCCAACCGAAACGAAAACTAGGATATATAAATCAACAATAAGACCGATAATGACGTACACAGCGTAAACAAGAGCAGATACGGCGAAAGCACAAAGATTATTGGAAACAGCAGAAATGAAAGTCTAAGAGACAGAGTAAGAAGTGAGGAAATACAAGCGATATGTGGTACAGAGGAAATAAACCTGTGGTCCAAAAGAAGAAAAATATAATGGAATCAACATATAGAGAGAATGACAGAAAATAGGACAGTGCGAATAACAAAAAACAAATCGCCAAATGGAAGAAGATCAATGGGACGACCGAGGAAAAGATCGTCAGACAACATCAATGGAGGCTAAAAACCGAAGTCAAACAGGCATGAGCCTATTAATAAAGTAGGAAGAAGAAGAAGAATAATGTCAGTCATTTGTAATCATAATGTTCTTGTTTTCTTACTGTGCCCCAAATCGGCGATTTTTATCTTTAAGTTCGATAAATAAATAATTTCAATTTTACTTGGTTAGTTCGTGAGGTTCATATTTCGTATCATCTGTTTTCCTAAGGCCCCGGTTTTTAGCAAGACTGCTTAACATCATCACAAGTCAGCCCTAATAAATCCATCAACATATCGATAAGATATTATTGAAATGAGCAATATTCACATGAAAAACTTACTAAATCTTTATCCTTTAAGCTTGCAAGTCACTTTTTAACACGCTTTTATAAGCTTACTCTGATTTGAATTATTCTGTTAATAACTTAAATTTTATTATAATTTATTTTGAGTAATTAATTATGACTGATTGTTCGACCATCTACTACTGTAATATAAGTTCTGTAATTAACAATTTTTTTCTACTTTTCAGTTCGTTTAACTATAAAAGCGTGTTTTTAAGTTTTTTAAACTATTATTTATTAAACAGGTCAAGTAAAATCATGTTTATCGAGTGTTTTATTTCCTTTATCACTGGGTATATTTATATTTTAACGAATTTCCACATTTTATACAAAGTAGTAGTGCTAATTTCAAATATTTCAGATATCAAGAGTGCGCATAAACAACAGCAGATGTGTTCTCTGATAGGCGTAGAAGGGGGCCATTCTCTAGCTGACAGCCTGGCGGTGTTGAGGACCCTTTATCATGTAGGGGTGCGATATTTGACGCTCACTTCCACTTGTAACACGCCATGGTGAGTATTGCTCTCCATCCCCTATTCATGTCACTTTATTCGGGTAAGAATGAGAGGTTCGCCAAATTTTCTGTTAATTGCCTTTCCACAACGGTTATAACTAGTAAATTTTGTTGTCGTAGTTAACTGGGCATAGTGAAATGGTAGGAATACTAGTCAAGACATTTTCATATAAAAATAAAAAATTTCTAAACATACTTTTTACGGATATAAACAGATTTATCTAATCACGCCAAATATTTAATATCACATATCTTAGGCACTACTGGGTTCATTAAATCGGTTGATTTTGTTGAAATTTGGCACGATAAGAAAGTTGCCTGGAAGTACCATTAGACTTGACGGACGGTGGAAAAATACAGGGCAACACATGTTTTTTCAACTTCTTTGTATTTTATCAAAATCAACACCTGAAGCTGAATATTGCATTGTTTGACTATGTAAAAATAAGCTGATGAAGGGTGCTAATCAGTTAGCAAAATAGATTATATTGTTGGGATCTCATTTTTTCATTTCGTTGGATTTTATTAAGTTCAACGCCCAGTAAGTTATACTATGAATTCATTATTATTCCGAAGGAAAATTAGCAAAACCTGGTATACATGAAAGGGAAAATTAATGTTATGCACCCTATTACTTTTTTCGCTATTTTTTTAAAGATTTAATTCTACCAACTGATACTGTACAACATGAGTTCTTGTAAAGACGGAAACGGCATTTATTATGCAATTTCACAAAATTTAACCGCTCAGACTACCATGAAATCAGGTTAAGAATCCACAAAAACGTACTATGCAGATCCGGACTTGACATTCCATTCAGTGATGCACGATGTGCCTACCATGAAGTTTCCAAAACATTTTTGGTTTAATTTTAAGTAATGTTTTGTAACATGCTAATGAATCCAAGTTGATACCCCTTGAAATTTTGAGTTTTGTGTCACATCAACTGTTAAATATAAGATATTTTAACAAAAAAAAACAAGAAAGGTGCAATCAATCTATTTTGCTAATTAGTTAGCACAATACGTTGTTTTTTGTACAGTGTCAAACATTTTAATATTCAACCTAGTGGGGGTCGATTTTGAAAAAAAAACGCGAAAGTGAAAAAACCTAGTCCGGTCCTGGATCTATCTAATTTTACGTTACTCCTAGGTAACCTTGTTATCGTGCAGAATTTAAACAAAATCAGTTAAATCGTATCTGAGATATGTGATATTCTAGATTTGGCGTCTTTAGATAAATCTCTAAAACGTGAATTTAGATTTTGTTCATTTTCAAGTATGAAAATAAGGTCTTGGTCCATACCGCCTACCACTTCACTATGTCAATTAGAGTCGAAACACCCTGTAGAATATGTACAATATGCTCCATACAAAAAAAATAAAGAATCCGCAGCAAGCTGTTACATGGATATTATACCGGGTGCTAATAAAGTACCTAGGTAAACTTCAAGCGGTGATTCCTTGGGCGATTCTGAAAAGAAACTTTATGTAGGTATAAGCATCATTCGTTCTCATGATATAGAGCGTTTAATTTTTTTTTTTTGAAAATCCGGTTTTTCGTGAAAATCGTAATAGTCTTTCAGTTTGTTGAAATTCAGCCGGTATCGACGTACCTTCGGAGATTTAACTAAAACTAAAGAAAACGCTTTGTAAAAACCACTATTTTTAAACGAACTTCTGAATCGTATGCCGCAGCACAAATACCTCTTAGGGGTGCTTAATGCTTGAAAGGACAATATGTTAAAAATAGATATTCTAATGCCTCCTCTGGGAATGAACGCAACTCAATGAAAATTATTGCTTATGATTATGAAAACTACGACAAAATCTAGTAAGCCTTCCCCAAAGTCCAGTAATCACCGTCTATTAAATAATTATGAATTCTGCATGGTAATGTCGATAAAGGGACATACTGCTATAGTAATTGATATCATTGAACTCATACAATGCTAAAACTATCGATTATATTCAGCCCTATCAGAATTAAGGGGTAAAAAGAATATGAAAAATGCTTCTTGACAGTATTCAGTCCTAAGTACTTTTATTGAACAAAATGAACGACTATTAAAGAAATGTGTGAATGTAAGCTTCTGAAAGCTGGAACTACAAAAAACTTTCTATGTATTGTGAATGATTTTTTTTCAATACAAATGCAAACGACCTGATGTATTTAGGTCAGACGGATTTCTGATTAGTATTTTTGTCTACTTCTAATCATAAGCAGTGGTTTTCACAAGAGTCGTGTTTATTGTAGACTTTGAAACATTCTTGGAATTATTTTCACAAACTACAATAGGTCAATTAAATGTCCTAATTATAGGAGATTTCAATGTAACAAATTTTGTTGATAATACACTTGTTGATAGACATTCGACTGCACTAAACAGATTTTTGGAATTTTTAGATCTTTCTCAAACCAATACTATTTTGAATGCTAGACAAAGGATGTTGGATTTGGTGATAACTGGCATGACCTGCGAAACTTATCATGATAATTTGCCGTTAGTCAAGGAAGATTTGCATCATCCTTCTGTATTTGTATTTTGTGAAACGAAATTCAATGCCACTCTTCATTTTGACGCGAATGTAGCAACCCCAACGTACAACTTCAGGAAATTCATTGGCCTTTACAACGCCTTGACTTACATTGATTGGTCTTTTTTGGACAACGTGGAGGATGTCAATCGCATGTGTGACTTCTTCTATGAAAAATTATATTTCGTTTTTGACCTGTGCGTTCCGAAATATATTAAGCATAAGCATCGTTATCCAGGTTGGTATAGCTCGGATGTTATTCGAAATTTAAAACTAAAACGTACACTGAATCAACAATATAAACGTTCCAAGAGTCAGCAAATCTATTGAAAATTTTCTAGGGTCCGTGCACTTGTTAAACAACAGATAAAAGACTGTTACAATCTACAGGGTGCGGCAGAGAGGACGGACGTTTTTGGGATGGGTAGTACTCTCCGCCTCCGTCTACGAAAGAGGTGGGGAGGGCGCCGTTTGACTCGTGAGATCCTGAAGTCTCAGATAATCCTAATCGGACTATTAGTTCATTCGTAGCGTATTTCCAAAGTGTTTATGTTATAGATAATGATTTATACCAACATCCCGTTGTTAATACTCAGCATGACTGTTTTCGTCTGGGTAACTTCACAGATGAGCATATTCTAAAGACAATGTGTAAATTACCAAACAAATTAACATCAGGAGTAGATATGGTACCGAGCTTTGTAGTCCGTGATGCGGCGCATATATTTGTCACGCCTTTAAAGAAAATTTTAATTATTCCCTCAGTACAGCAACTTTTCCTACAAAATGGAAACTGGCTAGAGTGTGCCCTATTTTTAAAGCTGGTTACCTAGGAAAATCGAAAATTACCGAGCTATATCTATTTTGGATAATTTTGGTCAAGCATTTGAGATACCTGTATACAACTAGATCTATCCTTTGACCTCGCATCTGATATCTGAGACGCAACATTGATTTATGCGCAATCGCTCTCCTATTTCTAACTTAACGGAAATCACCCAGGAAATTGCAGAGGTCTTAGATAATAGGGGTCAGATTAATGTGGTCTATATGGATTTCTCAAAGGCCTTAGATAAGGTTAGTCACCAAAGAATCATAGGTAAACTTCAGCATTTTATTTTTAGCAATCATTTATTATATTTCATTTCTTCTTACTTGCATGATAGAAATCAGTACGTTTCTTACAATGGTTTCAAATCTTCATCTTACTCGGCCTCATCCGGTGTACCGCAGGGATCAAATGTAGGCCCTCTTCTCTTTCTTTATTTTATCAATGACCTCCCTAACTGCTTAATATGTCCTTCTCTGTTGTTTGCCGATGATTTAAAAATATATGCTAAGATTAACAGCATTGATGACTGTCTAATCTTGCAAGCTGACCTGAATCATATATTTGAATGGTGTTCAACTAATAAATTATTTTTGAATGCTTGCAAATGCAAAACCTGTTCTTCTACCAGGAAAACGAAACCAATAGTTTTTGATTACACACATGTTGCTCAGATTTGAAATGCATCCTCTTGAGCTGAGAAGAGTTTGTAATAGCTTAAAATTGCTTTACAAACTCGTACACAGTTATGTTGATTCTTCAGCTTTATTAGCTAAAATTGATTTTCATGTACCGTCTCGCATTTCTCGAAGATTTCTCGCCTTTTACTTAAAAACACCAAATTCTAGTGTTATGATTAAGTCACCCGTGTACTTTATGTGCCCCAGCTTTAACACCATAGCTGATAATTGTGACATTCATCATGATAAAGTTAGAGATGTATTAGCTGTATTCAGCGACTACTATTATTCAATTAATAGCATTTAAGACAAGTAGGTGAGTAGGTGTAGCTATTAATTTTTTTCGTTCATTTTTTTCAGAAACTGGGCAAGTTGTGATTGTTGTTAAAAATACTGTAACGTCAAATTGTATTCAATTACATTGTCCTTTAAATGGATATATCTGTTGAGCAATAAATATATTATGATTATTCCAAGATGGGACAGACAAACGCCTAATTTTAACTTTGTCCTTTGCGATTATGATGTTAATCATAAAAACTATCATTTCAGGGCTGACTGTTCCCATGCAGATATGCCAGGCAGGAAACCTGAACACGGGGGTCTCACAAATTTTGGCAAGGTAAGAAAGTATTTATAAAAATATTTCAGTCGTATCTAATTACTCTTGGAGCTTACTGAGAGAGTACCATATACGTATACTGCTTTAAGTTTTTGATGGTGATTGAAATGCCGAATTATTCTGCTGTAACTATCTACTTCGATTTTTCATTCACCTGATACATGTGAGAAGTAGTTAAAGTGAATCGGATTTATCGGGTCGAGTTGTGGTTATTTTTTCCAAACGGCTTGTCATAATGAGCCGTATTCATAAAACAAAGGAATTCCTTGTACTTGCAAATTTTGAAGGAAATCCTCCAGACAGTATCTATAATAATTTGAATGCTTTTGCTTTTTGAGTATAAACGTATCCTTCAAAGCAGTGACATAAGTGAAAGGATATTCATAATCTTCACCTTATACTTGGCATAGGAAGCATATCCTTAAAATATTCTGAGTGTGGTCAGTAGCAGACTCAACTTCGTAACGAAAGGTGGTAAAACGATGGTGGTGGAAATTGTGGATGTTAAAAAGTACAAACCTCTTTTATTTTCACTTGGTCGTTATTTCAAAAAATTATATCGGTTCGACGAAGCAAATGTACAATGACTTGCGGACAGATTTTTAATTGAGAATGAGAAAACCCGAGGAGGAGCACTTTCATGTACATATTCATAAAATAAAGATATGTATTCGCTATCTCCGTGACCCTGGATCTCAATACGGTATTGGTCAGGAACCTGTTGTTAGTCAAGCAACGGTACCTCGGACTGTGGATAGAGTTGTGAACAGCATAGTCACACAGTCAAACGAATGGATCAAGTTTGCAACTACCAACCATGAACTGATAGAGCCCAAGCGGATATGGCAGAGCACGTATAAATTTCCGACAGCAATTGGTGTAATTGACTGTACACATATAGGAATCCTGAAACCAAATCGCCATGGAGATGAGTATATCTACCGAAAAGGGAAACCTACTTTAAATGTGCAAGCCACTTGTGATGCCAGAGAGATGTTCACAAGTGTTGATGTCAGTTGGCCTGGATCAGTGATGGAGGAATTTACAGAATAGATCACAACTAATAAATAAAGCAAATGTACTACTTGGCGATGACGGTTATGGTATTGAGCCATGCCTCGTGACTCCCTTCAGAAATCCTACTCCAGGTGTAGAAGTAAATTATAATAAGCTTTTAAAACAAGAAAGAATTATAATTGAACGGTTTCCTATCCTACAGTATGATTGCCGCGTAATGTGCCGAAAATAATTATTGCTTGTATTGTACTCCTTAATGATGAAAATGAAGGATGCCATGAGAATAACGAATTTCCTCTCCGCCAACTAGGTCAACAAATAAGTAGAAACTTGAGTACTATAATAAATAGTTTTACTGATTAAAGTCTATTTATAAGTTATAATAAGTTTTATTTTCGTGAACATCATAAGTTACAGGTGGCTTCTGACGCTGCATCATTTCTAATTTCGTTTTATAATACTCTTGTTGTTAATATTTGTTTGGTACTGGTGTAATAGCACGAGACGTTGCAGCTCTTTTGTGGTTAACCCTTTGGTTTCCTCAGTTTCGTATTTCACTGTTGCTAATGTTCTTTTTGTGGCAAAGTCTTGTTGCTGACGCTGTAATACTAACTGTTTGCTCACTGCGCTCGGTATATAGTTCACTTCCTTCTTCTTAAACACTACTAACCTGAATGGCACCTCTAATTTTCACAATTGTAGTCACCTTCCATATCTTTCAGCAACTTTCTTTCCCAATCTAACAATTTAATTGCTTTATTACCAGTTTTTTTTAAATCTTTTTTTTTCTTCAATCTTGACTTCATGTTGTTGATTTTTTTTAATAAGCCTTTAGTATCTAATGGTTTACCGAATGTTGATTCGTATTTTTTAAAAATCTTCTTCAAGGCATCATCCTTTCATATTTTTATTTTTGAAACCTGTGACTTTTGCTAAATAATGGGAGCAATGGCAATTTCATCTGCGATGAACTGCAAGTCGTTGCCATTATTTTCTATAGTTTCCTCATCACTTGAGGATGACATGCTTATTAATCTGATAAAAAACTGTATCCAGAAAAATACTGAACGGTCTGTGTAAGCTCTGAGTACAACTGTCAGTAATGCTGAGTGAACGAACTCCCACGTCAACTACAAGCTGGAACAAGTCAGGACATGTCGCTCAAAATACAAATACCATTCAACCTTTTACTTCTTCTTGGAGGATATCCTCGCGAGTATAAGGTAATCATTAGCAAGACCTTATACTTTCACCTTATGCTTCCGAGGATATGCTTCTCTTTTATGCATACGGCTCAAACTTATGACCTGCAAACTTTTTTTTATTTAGCATACCTAGTGTATATCTCAACCTATAGAACGTATTAGTGGCGGATCCTGGGGGGCGTTGAGGGGATCCGGATACCTCCCGAAATTTCATACAGAAAATTTATGTTGTTCAATTTGCGATACCCCTTCTTGAGACGGACATCCGCCTGAACATGAACCCTGAGCTCCTCCGCCCGGCACTTTTTTCAAGTGGACCCCCCTGAAAATACTTCCTAGATCAGATCTGCTCCTGAAATGTATCCCTATTTGAATTGGACCAGATCGCTCCTTTTGGTGATTCGATTCTATGATTTCGATGCGGTCTCAAGACCGATTATTTTGATTCGTTCACGATTACTTTTAATTCCGATTAATTTCAATTCAGATTTCCTCAATTCCAAATCACACCATCGGTGTTAATGAGCTCTACAAAGAACGATTTCATAGCGCAGCGATCCCTAAACCCGCACGGCTATCACGTATCTTGATAAGTGGCATTATGTCGAATTTTTTTTGACATTATGCTGGTTTTCGTCATGAGGCTTTCTATCAATCTTTGGCTCTGATGTGATGTAAAATCTGCTTCTGAGATGGCATTACTGGAAGTCTAAGCTATAAGTTGTATATGTTGATGATAATTACATTGGGTTCTTGTCTCAAATACACTTCAGAAAGCACAACATAAAAATAAACCTTCGGGCACAGCCAATAGATATACTTCATTGGCAGCATATTCAGTTTTCTCACACAGCAAATATCACTGATTTTTTACACATGCAGACCAATACACATAATCACCCAGATGCGATCTTGCTATTCGACCAACTTTCTTCTCAGAGATAAAAACTACAGTCAAGGACCACCGTTTGGCCTCACAAAACATATGCAACCAATAATGCGTGTAGCTTAGTTGAGTGATTCCTCCTTAGATGGACGTTCACAACGATCCTAGTAAGCAAATGTGGAATGACTGTTTGCGCCCTAAAATCTACCTGCTTTGCAAGATGTCATCTTATAGGTTTTTTTGACGTTTCATAGGTTTTTTACATGATACCCATGCCGAACCCGATGGTTCAATATATGACGAACTGTTTGAAAGCCATGCTGATGTTAGGATTCGGATACTGCTTCTCACTTTGAATACTCCAAATTAAGAATGATCTACTATCTGTAGTACATGTGGTCTGTGGGTACACATTAGCCCTGTTCGTACAGCTGTCATCAACCTGTCAGTGATCGTGTCCAAGATCCCGTTACACAAATTCCGTTCATTCTGCTACGCTATATAGACGGAATTTACACGGCCGGATCGCAGACACAATCAGCGACAGATCACCGACCACCGTACGAACAATCCATTTACCGTTGGACGGTCACGGGAATTCTTACGTGAATCAGCTTACAGGGGATGTTTTGGAGGATTAACTACTATTTTACGAACTTTTCTTCAATCAATTTGCGAGAATTTTATAACTTATTCCATTTATCCACATTTCCATCTGGTTCACAATCATGATTCGTCTCCATATTGGCCTTATAACAATCTAGGCGCAAGACAATCAACGATAACGATCGGATTTTCGGGAATATCTTTCGCGCGTTGCCTCTGCATTTCAAATCCCCTTTCACGGGTAGGTGAAGCTTTTCGGCGACCCGAAAAAACTCCCATCTGCCTTTTATAAATGACAGGCAATAATGAAATTCCAGTTTTTACACAGACTGGCGTTATAACCGGGCTTCCCGTTCTCCCACAGCCGGTATTGATTGTTCTTATAAAAAATTCATTATTCTAATGGTGGATATTTGCACGCAGTGTGTAAAGGGTATTGTCCTGAAGGAACAGTAAGAATATAAACAGAAAAAGAAGTATATTATCATGGCCTATGTTTTTGCAAGAAAACAGCATCAAGTAGATTGACTCTGCACTTGCCGCGCAACGCTGTCATCAGTCAAGGGTTGTTCGGCACAAGTTTTCCCGTCTTAGAAAAAAATTAGCGACGAGCATGTGTAATAATAATAATAATAATATATCAAAAACTTTGTCACTGGTGAGTAATGAAGATATTAACAAAAAAATCAAATATAGTAGAAAATCGTGGGGTGCTTAACATTGAATGAAAAAAATTTTTTGTCATGAAAATATAGTTCACTGCAAACCATGCTTTTTATCTACTGTAATTGACTTTTTTTGTTCATATCTTGATTTTTATACTGATCTTATTTCAAATTAGTCATATTTGATTGTTGGACCTTCTACTGCAGACAAGGTCTGCTTATTATTTTCTATTTTTTAGTTCGATTTGCTTTTAAAGTGTGTCTTTTAGTTCTCTAAACTATAATTTATTTTCTAAATTTTTTGTCTCAATATCACAACAAACATACTTAATCAAGAGCTTTGCTTTTTGGTAAGTTTTATTCAATTTAAAGCTCCATTTTTTGTAAATTTACAAATCTTCAAAGTATTTCCAATTATTTTCCAAATATTTAAATCCCATTTTTTTCAAAATTACAAACTTTTTTCAAGTTTTAAAATTCCATTTCTTCAAGATTATTGTATTATCATCTGCCTTGATACTTGTGCAAATTTTCAAGTTAACCAGACTTCTTGAAATTGGTGAATACGAGGGATGTCTTTTAAGTTTTGCATATGGAAATAAAACAACACGGTAGGTAGCTTTAAATGACTTTATTGTTTTTCGAAGATTGATACACATCTGCATGCGCTTGAAACAATTTTCGAAGCACTTATTCCACTCGTTTGCTGGCAGATCCAAAACGGCATTTTTGAATGCGTCAACTGCTTCTTCTGGTGACGAACCTTTGACCACGCAGTCTGTTTTTAATTTTCGGGAAAGTGAAGAAATCGTTAGGACTTAGATCGGGACTATATGGAGGTTGGTCTAATAATTCCATATTTCTTCTGTTAAATACTGCCTTGTTTTTTGGGCTGTGTGCGAGCTTGCATTGTCTTGGTGGGGGATGATTCTTCTTTCGGGATTGAGTTTTCGAAGCTCGGTGATGACTTTTTTCGAACAAATGGTGGTATACCAATCCGCAGTAACAGTTCTTTGCTCATTAAGAGGAATTGTTGCAATATGAACCGCTTTTGACACAAATGTCGCGACCATCTTTTTAGAAACACTTCGAGAACGCATGACTTTTGTTGGCCTTTCTTCACCTTGGAACACCCAAACAGCCGACTGTCGTTTATTTTCTGGTTTATATCAGTAAATCCACGATTCATCACCATTAACAATGCTGTAGATACACATTTTTTGAGTTTACGGAATTGAAACGGTCAAGCGTTCTTTGACACCAATTAACCCTGGCTGCTTTCTGCTCGTCAATCAACAGGTGGAGTATCCAACGAGAAACTAATTTTCTTACTCCTAATTCTTCATGTAAAATTTTGTGAAATGAGGTCTTTGAGATCTTTCAAGGACGCCTCAATCTCGCGTTTTCCTGGGTGATTGCCGTTTTTGGTGCACCCACCCTGGGATCGTCGCTAAGACTCACCCATCCACGCTTGAATTCTCCATATCAATGGGAAATTGTCGACTGATGTGACGCTTCGTTGCCGAAAACAGACAGTAACTCAGCAAGGCACTCTTGTTGCGATAATTGTCTCTGAAAGTTGTAATAAATTATGGCGCGAAAATGTTCTCGGTTGAGTTCCATTTTTCCAAT